CAATTGGCAAAATTGTGCTCACTGCGTAGCTTCAGCGAGGCACTTCAGAAAAGTAAGGGCTGAGAGATATTTGACCCCCAGCTTCGACATCCCAACTCGTTTTCGGATTACCCCCCCACGTCCCGACTTTCGAATCCGTACGTCGAGCCGTTTAGATTTGTGCCCAACTGTTGACGGACGCCTGCACGGACGGACGGACGGACGCACGCTCATGCGATTCTACAAGCTGCATCTGACTATGTCAGATGAGCTAACTATTCACCATTCGGCCCCCTGGTTCAGCAGGCATGACGTTAGTAGTATATATAGTCATTGATAGTGACTACCGCTCCTGTCATTGATTACACTTTAATTCTCGTTGCGGATACGTGGCTCCAGCTGCCAAGGCCTTGCAGTCATAGGCTGATTGATTTAGCATTTCATTAAAACGTGGCCGTATCTGTGAACGTCTAAGAAATATGACTCTCCACCACTCCACGTAACGTAGGTATGTGTGTTTCGCAGCATCGGTTTCTATGTCAGAAACAACGTGGAGCATACAATATACGTTTGCTGAGTATAATGAATCTATGTGTACTATAAAACGTTTGATTAAAATATGAATGGCTTCAATGCAGGTGCATATATTTCATCGTGATGCTCAAATACCTAAGCACGGTTGTCTTCGTAGTAACTCGGTCCAGCTGTCAGCAGGCTGTCACATAAAGCTAGTCTAATAACTTAAAACTAATGCAGAACTAATCGTATAAGTAATCGTAAATGAGCGTCATTTACGTCAGTTGTAGTGACTGTTTGATCTCTATATTCATTATTGGGAAATGAATACCGGTTAGGAACGTATAGAACCTTGGAAGAAAAATATCTGTATTACTTGACACAAGACAAGACAGCATAGTACGTATTATTTTGTTTCCGTATATATTGTTTGCCACGTAAGGAAAAAAAAACTAGTCTTGTCGATATAAAATCGCTGCTTCCACAATAATTACCAAAGTTCTTGGTCAAAAACTAAAAAGGTCTAACCCATTTCTGAGTTTGGTTCATCGTTCGAGTAGATTTATGTGGATTATCTCATATTATAGTATATATTGTCTTATGAGTCAATAATTATTTATGCTGTACATTGATAAATAATTGGTTGTCTGTCATTCATGACTGTTTAAAAGAAGTTATGGTGGCACCAAAGCGTACTCGTCCTACACACGTCGTTCAATGAATACTTTCCATATATATTTGCTTCCTTGTATTTATTTATGAAGTGTACACATGGGTATATGACGGACAGGTAGATTTTAAAAGATAAATATTCTTTAGAATTTTGGTAGCTAGTGATACTATGCTGCCTCTATTACAGTTATGACAGCGTGAAAATTCCGTTACTTTATCGGTGAGGCGAGGGTTTGGTTGGGAGAGAATGTATCTTTATTATGAACGTGTTGTGAGGTAATTCAGTGTAAGCATGATTATGTTATATTGTATATGATTCCAATGGAGTTTTGACAGCAGTTTCCAGGACTTTGGAGAGAGGGTCGTACAAAATGTTCCTAAGGGGAACAACTCGTTCTGTTGTATTTGTGTTAACATATTTTTTGAAATATCCAATATTTTATTGGTTTTAATTGTTTCACAATATATACATCTTAAAAATGTATTGAAAAGAATTATAAGCAGTATAATATATTTGAGAAAAAAATTTATACCAGAAATACCTGCATTGAAGTATTTTCTCCTAATGCATTACACAATCTAGACCAAGTGAAATCATTTTATTGCTTTTTTCAGCACTATAAAATCATCTCTCATCGAGCCGTTACTGTTTGTTATGGGAGCATGTCTTATGACATAGTCACATGCAGCAGTGACGATAGTAAGAACAACATCTTTCAAATATGGGTAAACATTGTAATATACACCATTTTTATTGTAAAATTATTAATTTATAATGTGTGGTGTTTAAATCAGTAGTAACTGAGCAGTAGTAACTGGAGACTATCTAATTACTGATCAATTACTATTTCTCTTACAGGTTTAACGTATTTACCAAAATTACATAAAACGTAATTTCGTAATTTGCGGGGGGGGGGGGGCGGCTCAACATGCAGAGGGCTCAGGGGTACCTGCATTGACTGACTGCAATGATTGACTGGTCTCTCGTCACACGCGTTTGGTGTCTGCTTTACAGTTTGCGGGTGAAAACACCTTCGCTTCCTTCCGTAGTACATAAAAGCGGTTTATGAAGAGTGATGATAATTGCACCTGGAATGCGAATATGCCCACAATGGAAATGCGATGCTAGTATTGTTTATAGACGTTATACAGTTGTCTGGCATTGTGTTGGCGAGCTTGAACTCGTGGGTAAAGAAATATCTTTAATATCTTTACCAAGTGCTCCAGCTGACATCATTAGTCGTATTGAAATGGCATATGGCCGTAATGCTGTAGCCATTGCATGCGCCGCTTTCCCTGTGTAAACTGTTGCAAGAGACGTGCTGAGCGGTGTGTGTCAATGAATGGACCATGCAATCAAGGAAGGAAGGGAGAAGCGCTTGTGAGAGAATTACTTAAAATAGTAACAGTGCCATTAACCGTGGGCACAGCATCCTCAATAGTCGTTTAAGGTCTATCGTAACTAACCCTTGCATGACGTTTCATGAAAATACATTGAACAAAATTAATGGAGTGAGCAGTGGATGCAACAGGTGAAATCCTATCCCTCTCCAAGCAACTTCGTTGTAAAGTAATATTAAAGCAAACATAGTATGTAAAATGCAAACAATATAGATTAAATGGCATTTCGTATTTTATGCAGTTTTGGAAAATGGGTCAATGATTATACATTAAATGGAAGACAACCATGACAACTGAACTTACTTGGGGGTGCCAGGTCAAACATAGTAAATATGGTTAATTGTGATTTGTATCATTACTATATTAGTATAATGACTGAGATTGCTCTGTTTCATTAAAATTCCAATACGTAAATACAAATGTTAATTATACAAAGTCTAGTAGATAGATTTATATGAAGACTGGATAAACAATTCAACACTACAATGGGTGGAACTGCAATTAACATTCTACAATACAGTAAGTGGTTGGAGTTTCACACCAGAGGGCGGTCTCGAGCTGGCCTCAAGGTCACGGATCTGAGTGTGAAGCCTTCGTATTTCTGTTCGCTGTATCTCTATGACTTTGTCCTTCTCCTCTGTGTCGCTATGTAGTGAAGTTGCAGAGTCCTTTAGCAGCAACACCTTAATGGTTGAAGAAATGGGCAACTAAGCAAAACGGCAGTTTGCTGTTGCGCAATACATTAAACCACGCACATTCGCGAAATACACTGCGGTCCCTGGTCAATTGTCATGTTGGTTTACCTGTCAATATCACAGTTATGACAGCTGCACCTGGGACTGAAAAACACAGTAGAAAGACGTTTCAAGACTGCACAAATACCTGCGATCTGCCAGCTGTTTTCTGCTGCACTGCATTCATGCACTCTAGATCATGTACTCGATTTCTGGCCGTTTTAACCTCTTGCCTCAGTTCATTAATCTCCTTAATCAGGGCGACATTTTCCTGTAAAAGGAAGACAGATTTAGCCCTCTCCTTACGTCCTACGATAGGTGACTATGTAGGTTTGATACCTTGACGAGGGTTCATCACATGGCATTGTTACACACGTCCTAACAGTTACCATAATAAGTGACATGCAAACGTCAAACAGGGGAGAGGTAATAGTGCAGTGCGTGGCCGTGCCTGCATGCTCCTGACATTGTTCTGCTTGTGGATCTGCGAATCCTTGGCAAGTTTCTCTCGCAGAGATGCGATGGAATGCTCTAGGTGCTCCCGCTGGCGCTTATGCTCCTGATACATGTCAGTCTCCACCCCTGCAGACAGCGTCTCTGGCTAAAGGATAACGTCAAACGACACCGGTCTTTTATGTTAATGAATGGTACTCATTTAATTGTTTTCACGCACTTTCTCAAACGCAAGCGCGTCATGGGATGGCACCATATATAATTAATAT